CAAAACTATAAATGCTTCTTATATTTCTAATCTATATTTTAGAAAAATTATGAAGCTACATGAAGTTCCTAGATCCATGGTGTCTAATCGAAATTCCAAGTTTCTTAGTCATTTTTGGCACACCCTTTGGAGGAAGCTTGGTACCAATCTCAAGTATAGTTCTTCTCATCATCTTCAAACATATAGTCAAATGGAAGAAACCAATCATAGCTTGGGTAACCTTCTAAGAAGTTATGTAGGGAAAAATATCAAGCAGTAAGATCTTGTTTTACCTCAAGTAGAGTTTACCTATAATTGCCCACCAAGCTATACCATTGGTTATAGCCCTTTTGATGTGGTGTATGGTAAGAATCCAATCAACCATTTAGATTTAATTCTTTTTCCTACTAATCAATAATTTAGTGAAGATACAAAAGAAATGGCTAAGGGTATCAAATGATTGCATGAACAAGTGAGAGCTAAGATTTTGCAATAAAATGAAAAATATAAAAAAACAGTAAACAAGCATAAAAAATATTTGGAGTTCAAAGAAAGTGATTTGGTGTGGATTAACTTACGAAAAGAGAGATTTTCTCCATGAAAGTTTTGTAAATTACAACCTAAGGTAGATGGTCCATTTAGAATTCTCCAATGTATTGGAAAGAATGCCTACAACATAGACCTTTTTGACACTTATAGACTATCTTTCACCTTCAATGTTGTTGATTTGTCACCATACCATGGTAAGAAGACTAATTCAAACTTGAGGACAAGTCTTTTTAACTAAAAGAGATTGACACCGGAATGTCAATATATCTTACAACTTGAGCTTAGATTAAGAAGGACTTATCCAAAAATAAGATAAGCCTATTTTTTGTCTAAATCTACTAAATAAATGTAAAAATAAGTTGAGCTGGAATAGAAAGATTATGTTTACACTAGTTGAAAAGGAAAAGCATGAATATGGATGGGATTGTGGTCAGATTCATTATCATGTAATCTAAGTAGTAAATGGACAGATTATGTTACATGCAAATCCCATGATTTTAGGTATGATTCTAGGAATGCAATCTGAAAGTTCTCATGTTTTGAGAGATGTTTCTAGCCTATATATTTTCTATTATTCTTTGGTAAAAGGCAGAATATAGTTTTTTTTATCCTTAAGCAATCTTTTAGATTATTCTTCAAGTTTTGTATCTCGTAGGTAGATTTCCTAAAGTGGTGAACTTCTATTATTTTGTATCCTTGATTAGAATTCTTAGAGTAGTATTTCGGTATCCTTTAGTTTCTAGTCTTGGTGGTGAACTTTTATCCCTTTTAATATAATAATCATATTGTCATTATTCAAATTCTTGTGAGTTGTCTTTGTGAATTTTTCTATTTGCAATTAATCTCCACATCTCAAATATCAATTCCTAGCATCAATAGACTCTGTTAGAACAAAGCAACTGGTGGAATAGGATTCAAAAAAACAGAAAGTCTTAATGTGGCCTTACCAGGGAAACAAGGGTGGTGTTTGCTAAAAAAGCCTGACTCATTGATACAAAAGGTGCTAAGTGCAAAGTATTTCCCTAATTCAACTTTTATGGAAGCTAGGTTGAGCACAAATCCATCACTTACATGGCAAAGTTTTAAGTCTACAAGGAAAGTTTTAGAGCTTAGCACAAGATGGAGAGTTGGAGATGGAGGTAAGATATGAATATGGCATGATATATGGGTTATCCCAAATAGCAAACTAAACCCATACGAAGACCAAACACTAATGGCACAATATGAAATGGTGTTAGATGTGATTGAATCGAGTGCAAGATGTTGGAAAGTGGATGAAATTTACAACTACTTTTTGTTGAGGAAGCAAAAATAATATGTTGCATACCATTAGGCTATGTGGGGCAAGATGACTAGTTAATATGGAATGCAGAGAAAAATGGAGAATATACAATACAAAAACCAACTAATCAATAAAACATATAATGATGCAGTTAGAATGGGGCAAAAAGACAATGTCCTAGAAGACAAGTTTTGTAAAAAGCTATGGAGGTTGAATTTACCAAATAAAATTAAGGTATTTGGTTGGTGTTTAAACAATGGAATCCTTCCAATGTTGAGCAACCTCAAAAAATGACACATTGATGCCCAAGAATTGTGTCAAAGGTGTGGACTAAAGGAGGAAACAGTGATGTATGCTATTAAAGGGTGTAATGCAGTGAAGAAAGTTTGGGAACTTGTCAATGTGGATAATGAATGGAAAAATGTAGACCTAGATAGCGAAAAAGGATGGCTGTCTAATGTTTCTAAGAGGGTAGATCAAAAGAGCCTTGAAATTGGACTGGTGACTAGTTAGACAATCTGGTACAATAGAAACTTGGCTTTTAATAGTAATGAGAATAGAAGAGCAAAAGAAACATCAGTGTTTATTGGAAAATATCTAAAAGAATATAGAAAAGCTCAAACACCCATAATTGCTAGTGTTATTAGAAAGGATGTCAAATGAAAAGCACCAAGGGCAAGAGCTGCCAAAACAAACTTCGATGGCACATTACTTGCAGAAAATAGTCTATGTGGAATAGGGGTTGTGATGAGGGATGAAAAAGGATTTGTGTTGGGAGCATGCTCAACTACCACGATGCAAGTCAGAGATCCAATGGTTACGGAAGCTGTAGCTGCAGTCAAGGTTGGGGTTCACCTTTGTTATAATCTAAGGAGATGCTCTAATCATTTTAAATCAACTGAACTTAGATACAAAGAATTTCTCAATCATTAGGGATGTGATAGAATATGCTAAACTACTTAGCAATGGTTTCTATCCGTTCAAAGTTGTCCATAAAAAGAGAGGTAAATGAAGTTGCGCATAGGCTTGCAAAAAATGCACTAAGAGTTTCTATCAAATCTATGTATTGGATTGAAGAATGTCCTCCTATCATTTCTAATGTTATCTACTCTAAAAGTGTTAATTTCATGATACAATCGAAATTACCTTTAAAAAGAAAAAACCCTTTAATTCTCTTCTTGTTTCCTCTGAGACAAAACAAGAAAATAAAGAAAAAGCATGAAATGAATATCAAATGGCTATAGTCAAGTTTTAGGATGTCTAATTGGCAGCAATATATTTTTTTTATTTGGCGATAAGAGGTTCATAGATTTTACCCAGTACATCTCTTTTCTAGGTCTATCCAAGTAAGCTTATCTATGTTGAGCCTCACGAATTCATGAAAAATTACCTTCTCATAGTCTTCCAACGAATTCGAAGCCAAACAACAAAGAGGGAAGCATGGCATTGGTTGGTGGCAACATTGACAAGCTAAAATTCAATATTTACCTATACAGTGTACAAAAACAAGTACAATGGACAAAAAAGCTTACTTATCTAGGTCTCTATCTGCTTATTGCATCTTTATACTGTCAATCCCCACTAAAAATTTATGAATAATAAAATAAAAATTGAACCTAATAGAGATAATTAAATAGGGGATAAATCAGCATAAGACAAGAAAAGAAAAAGAAAATGGGTCTATCTCTGTCTAATGATATTGTTGACTATGCTGTCCACTCAACCTGACCACAATAGAAGTGCAGGGGGAGAAGGCAATTGCCCTCCATGGGATTTTGATTGTGGATGCATTAGGAAAAAGCTTTTCTATAAAGTGGAGCAATGCCATCTCAAAGTACATTTTACATCCCCATTCTCGATCTCCACCACATTAATATTAAAAGAATTTCCCACCATGAAACTTCTGCTTAGTTGGTTGTTACTTGTTAAGACCAACAATGTTTCTATATGTCTTTCAAAAGAGAAAACATTACAAAACAATTGTGTGATTTGTTATAGAGTGTTAAATTTTAAATTTTAATAATCAAAGTTTAAATCCTTATAACTTCAAATGATAAAAGTAGAAAATGACAAAAATTCGACTACTCGTAAAAAATAAATTGGAACAAATGGCATTACTCTTTCAAAATATAGTAGAAATTGACTTAAGTAATAAAATTTCAGCAGGATGCATTTATATACTCAAATCCAGTGGCCTTATCTTACAAACAAATTGATCAGACTAAATTCAACTAGATTATAAGATGGAAATTCCCTCAATATAACATATTTTTTATATAAATTAAAAAAAATAGAGGGGAAAAGGGGGTTGTTTGCTGAAGAAATTAAAAAAGAATTGCTCTCTCCCTTTCTCTTCTTTAAAAATATGTCTTAAGCCATAAGAAATTAAATACAATCCTGCAGATCTCAACTTTCACTTGGATTTTGTGTTAAAGTGGGCGTATGTCATACCAAATGAGTATATAAATTATAAAGAGAGAAAAGTTTGCAAGTATGAAACTTTTGGCCTCTTTAAATAAGTGCATAGAACATCTTGGACCACAAGAAGTCACTATATTAATCGGCCCACCTATTTTCTGCAGTGTTTTTCGTATCTGATCTAAGCTCAAAAAGGAGAACCAGCAGATTATGATTGTCAATTGATATCCCATGGATGTTGGCACGTGAAACGAAATCCATCTTGGACAGGGATGCGAATAAATCAATTATGAACTAATTTTATTATGTTCATCATTAGTTTGTTTAATTAATAATTTTTAAAATATTATTTATGATAATTTATTAAATTTAATAAATAAATATAAATAAATAAAAATCGAACAAATTCATAAATTATTTATGGAATGCTATATTCATTTATATTTTTGTATATAAATAAATTGAACATGAATAAATTTTATTATATTCATGATCATTTACTTAATCAATTTACCCTAAAATTTTATTTATAATTATTTATTAAATTTAATAAATGAATATAAACAAATTAAAACTAAACATATTCCCAAATTGTTTATTGATCGATCGGTTCATTTACACTCTTAGTGTCATACAAGTGATGCAACAAAATTTGATAAAATCTAACTCCTCCTTGACTTGATTTTAATGAAACTTTTCTTTATCCACAGCAGATTTGACCCACCATTTCTTTTATTTCCGCCAAGGAATTCCAGGGAAACTAATTAACACCACATTACATTAAAGTGCACTTAAGAAGATGGGAACCATTGCAAAGCCGGATTATTCATCAGTTTTTTGCCTTCTGCTACTGAATACCAGACACTTATTAGGGTCAGGAACTGTTTATTTAGAATTGTTTTGGTGAAGTGTCCAACTGAAGTGGTTGTTGAGTCATCAACTCCTTATACAATTTTTACTAGTTAGAGAGACATTGAGAAAAGGCATCTCTTGCCAAACCTCCCCTCCATTCCATACGTCAGAAGGCTCTATTGGCTCAAACATCATTTGAGTAAAACCCCAATTCTAAATGAACTTTGCTTGGAAATAACACCTCCCCACTTTTAGAGATTGACTTTCTTGAATGCCCATTTTTTCTCCTTTTGCTTTCTTTAGCCAAAACATTTCCCCCCCAATAAAACAATTATACTCCTCATAATACAAACTCTCTCTCTCTTTCTGATGTAAGCATAATTCGATCTGAAAATGATTATCCACAACACAAATTGCATTACCTGTTCATGTATGCGCGCGTGCAATCATGCATGCCAATAAACATGGTCTAAATACCACATCTGTAAGTTGCACGAATTTATGTATTTGAGTCTGATATGCGCTCATCGATCCAAAAAATATATATACATGATCTGCATGATATTCAAGAGGTTGCTATTATATTAGCCAATGGTGGGACTAGCTCAACCTTTTCTTTCTCTATAAGAACCTCCACCCCTCAAGCTTCCTTTCCCCTTCCAACAAGAGCTTGGGAACTTCATTTTCTCCTCCAAGATCTAGTCCCTTTCACCCTGCTCCAAGACATGCAGCCAAGTGAGGTTTCAGGGCTTCAATATCTAGTTCCTTCCAATCCATCCCAATATTCATCACATTTTAGCATGAATCAGATCAACATACCTGCATTTGAGTTGAATAGATTCTCAAATCCCCTGTATAATTTCTATATCCCGCCTCAACTTCACGAAATCAGTCCCCATTCATCATGCGTTAGCAGCAATTCAACTTCTGATGAAGCAGAAGAGCAACAATTAAATCTCATCAACGAGAGAAAGCAAAGGAGGATGATATCTAATAGAGAGTCTGCACGCAGATCACGTATGCGCAAACAAAGGCACATGGATGAGCTGTGGTCACAGGTAGTTTGGCTCAGGAATGAGAACCACCAGCTTATAGATAAGCTGAACCATGTTTCGGAAAGCCATGACAAGGTTGTTCAAGAAAATGCTCAGCTCAAAGAGGAAGCCTCTGAACTTCGTCAGATGATCTCTGACATGCAACTGAGTAGCCCTTACTCAACTTTGAGAGACCTGGAAGATGTTGCCCTGGAACATGGTTTATCTGACAACTGAGTCCTCAACCTGTTCATCACAAATTTTATCTATCTGCTAGACTAAGACAGACGCAGCGGTCTTATTTTTCCGTTTCCATTTTTGGTTCTTCTATTAGTTGGAAGCCAATCAGTCTGTGTCCAGCTCCAACATGTATGAGACTAAGGAAATGAGAATAACATGTTTTGAGCATTTCATTTAAATCTCCTCTAGACTATTCTCTCTCTTTAGCTATCCTTCCCTCCCCTAGCTGTCTTGTTGTCCTTAATCTCTTCCCACTTTAAGAGTAGTGAATCGAGGATTTTTTATTGGTGTGTCTACTTATAATATATATATATATATATATATATATATATATATAAGTGAAGATGGATTTACTAATTTTACAGGCGGAAAGAATGTCCAGAAGAAAGTTTTGGAGATGTCCAAAGAAAAACTTCAAATTTTCTTGTTTTCCACCTTTGCCACTGGATCAGCCTCCGCACTTTAAAGTAGCTTCCTGTATCATACAAGTCTCATTTGCTGCAATTTATAAAAATTAAAATGGCTAGTATAAATAATCCAAAAAAGAAAAGAAATGGGAAATGTTACTTTGATAACTGTTAAAATTACACACTCATACTGTGAAAGTTTTCCATGCATCATTCTAAATCTGCACCAGAAAAGGCTTGATAAATATATTCAGGGGAAGCAAAATTCTATGCTCCATATGTATTACATGACAGAACTAAATATGTCAGTTGTACTACAAAAGGATCCATAAGTGGCATCAGTTGGAGGGAGAGTAGGACATGACAGAAAGAAAAGGTGGTGAGTGGGGGTTGGTTCATAATACAGAGGATACCATAAAAGGAAAAACTAAGATTTCCCCTTAATGCACTGTTCCTACTCTTCAACAGTTGCCTTAATTTCTCACCTATAGTTTTCATAGGTACGACACACCCTGTATTTTTGGCTGTGTTTCATAAAATGAGCTCAGGGAGGAAAATACATTATTATAACATCTGTCAAGTTGGGTTTTATTTATCAGACCAAGAAACTGTGCTATGTAAAAAGTAAACTCCACAATATATGACATTGAAGACAAGAAAATAATAGAAAGACCAATAAGAATTTTCCTCCCCGAAAACCAGAACAAACTGGAGAAGCTCTAGCAGAAAGTTACAATAACCCAAGGATTTGAAGATTAGCAAGAACAGTTTTCCAATTAATGCACAAAAACATCCAGTCTCATAAATATTTTTTTGTTTTATTCCTTCCAAATACATTAGCAGGAAGAAGTCACCGCAAGGTTTTTGACCTCAAGGCATTCAGAGAGGAAAAAGATTATCTGTAACCATTTTGGAGATTCAGACTGGAACAGAAGATGGAAAAGATTATCTTTTGCCCATGTTGCTATGCGGTTGTAATTTTCATTGAGTAATCTTTTATGCCCAACAAACAAGGTCTATCGAAACTGTGGGAATGTCATAATTGCCTAGTGGACTGAGTATCTTTGATTCACTGGCAAGGTAGATGCTTATGCCAACCTTCATAACAAACATTCCCAAATTCTCATCAGATTCTGATTTTGACCACAAAAGTGACTAAAACACAGAGTGGTATGGTTCATTTTGGCAGTTTTCCAAGGAATGTACGTGATACAATGAATGAGGTTCTTGGAAATGGTTCTCGGGATGAATGGTTTCACACCGACAGGGGGCATCTATGGTTCTCAGGTATTCTAATGCCAGGTTTTAAATACCTGAAAACGTAAATCCAGGTATAATTGCCACCTTCGGAATGAGATCATAAAGACAGAAAAAAATATATATAAAAAAGAAACTGCCTTTCCGAATGAGAAGTTGAGCTGCAATGAATGTAGTCGACACTCATGCTTTACTCCAACTCTATTGCAACACTTTAAAGCTACACATTAATCTCAAATCCATGGGTGACAAAGACAAAGGGTAAAATTTAGTCAGATGTCAATAGATGTTTTTCACGTCCAAGTAGAAAGACTCTTAACATCCTCTGTCCAGAAACTGAAATGATCAATAATCAATCACCAATCATGTATCAGAAATCAAAATGTAACTACCCTTTTGAACGGCTGAAGCTCTAACCAGATGTACAATTGTACGTTACTATGTTTGAATGGCAGAGGAAGCTAAATTTTAAGTTTGGTGCATTTAGTTCTTTATTATGCAAATACTACTTTTCTTGTCTTCTATTGTCTTGGTTAGCATCTTCCGTTTCTTTCCACCTTTTAGGCCCAGTTTTACCAATTAATCTTGTATTCTTCTGTTTTTTTTTTTCTGTTTCTTTCTTCTATTTTCTTCGTTTGATCATTTTTCAGTTCTGAACCTCAAGGACTTAGATTCTAGGCCAAAATTTGTACTCCTTTTTCTGTTCCTTTGGGATTCAAACTTTTGAGATAACATTTTAAAGTATTCTGGTTTCAACTTTTTGACGGTCCAATTTCCTAGTGATACCCGGCTTTCTTTTCCATTCTTTTTTTTTTTCCTTGATTTTCTAAAGAAAAACCTACTGCATAATTCCTAAATTGAGCTGTAAGGCATTTTGTGGTGACTTCATATCTGCTTTTTAGTTTTTAATCATTACATGAAATAACTAACAGAAGTTATCAATAACATAATTATTCATTCATCATAAGGCATAGTGACCACAAACGTTAGTTGAATAAAAAATTAGTATTACAGCAGAATGAAAAGTTGATTAGAACAGCACTAGAGTAATAACTAATCAGTTGAAGCAGCCAAGCATCCTCCAACACTTGATGTTACCATCCAGGCTATCGTTTTTGGATAATAATAATTCAATCATCCAAAATTTCAAGGCACATTGCCTCAATTTGTTCCATGAAAGGAAGACAACTATCGTCTTCATCATGTTGAAGAGATTTTATTGGAGATGGGTCTGGAAGGAGAAATGGATGGCTTAACAGCATATCAGCAGTCCACCTTTTACTAGGATCCCTTTGAATTCATCAAGAAATCTTTCCCTGTGCTTGACATGGTTTCCAGTATTTTTACCGGATATCTTAAAATCCAGTCTTGATGGCCAAATCCATTGGTTCTGATCTTCCTATGGTAGTTTTCCAGTAATCATCTCAAGAACAATGCACCCTATGGACCATATATCTAAGGCAGTACTGATGTGTCCATAAATAACAGATTCTGGTGACATGTAAACTGCTGTACCTGTAAAAGTTGGCACCCAAGGATCTGGCATATGATGTCTTTCCCTAGGTCGCCTAACCAGGCCAAAATCAGCAATCTTCAGTCTACAAATGGAACCATTCTGATGAGAAGGAAAACAAGGATATTTTCTGGCTTTAGATCACAATGAACAAAGCCTCTCTGATGAATATCCCGAACCCCTTCAAGCAGCATTCTGGCATAGCACTTGGCATCACCTTCAGGTATCATTCCCCCATATTTCTTGATCATCAAGTCCAAAAGACTACCACCAGGAGCGTATTCAAGAAACAAGTTAGAAACTAGCATCCCTTGATCAATGCTCACCATATCACCATAACATTGAACAATGTTACCACAACCAACAAACCGTTTGAAGATTTGTAGCTCCTTTTGAAGTGAACTAGAATCTTTGTAAGGACAAGTTTTCACAGCAAAAATTGATCATCAGAAACAGAGTTTGTGGGTTTCACCAAGTGAACAACTCCATAGGAACCCTGGCCAAGAGTCTTAAGTTTGACCCACTCCATTGTTAAACGATTCCTTGATACTCCTTTTACTAAAGGAAAATCATCCATGGTTTTTTATGAAAGTAAAATCAATCGAATGAACAAAGGAAGGGTTTAACAAACTGATTTTTTTGGAAACTTCAGGCTAATTTTGTTTCAGCTTCAAGATATGTATAAATATAGGGAACAAGTAACAGTTTAACTCGGTTTTTCACTCCTAATTGTGGTTGGATTTGATAATTGAAATTTGTGTTAATGTCAATTTTTCATTGGCCAATTCACAACGATTAAGCGGTTTAATAACTCTTTACTGAGCTTCTCAACTATCTTAAGCCAATATGTGAAGGTGTCTGTGATAAAATTACTCTTGGTTTCCATTTTTACTTTTTACTGCTTACTTTTATCGATATAGTAAAAAAAAAAAACACAAAAAAAAGGAGTTAATTAAAATTTTTTTATTTGAACTTTGAAAATATCTATAAATTGGTATTTAAAAAAATAAAATATACAATTTACATTCTAAACTTTCAAATAATATACAATTTGCACCATAAACTTTCAAACTATATATCACATTAATTCAAACTCTAATTCCACTAACCATATCAACATATATATAAGATGTTTGATCAATATTATTAAATTATGTGTTCAGTACACATACTATGATTTTTTTTCCAATATAAATTAAAAATATATATTTTCTTAAATTATAAAGTTGTTTAAAATCGATTAATCATTTTTTGTCATGTGATATCTACAAATGAAAGTTTTTATAAAATATTTGACACTTTTATTTAACAAATAACATATGTGTAACAAAATTATATTGATTAGATACCGTATAAATGAGTTAACAATATTAAAATTTGAATTAAAATAATAATACATTATTCAAAAGTTCATGATGTAAATTATACGTTTTATTTTTTTTGAAAATATAGATAAAAATGTAATTAACTTATTAATTTATTTTTTTTTCAAAATATAGATAAAAATGTAATTAACTCAATAAAAAAAAGTTAAAACAAGAGACAAATAAAAAATAAAGGATAACTTAAAATAAAAGACCGATATCAAAATGTAAAAGGCAAAAGAATCAACTAAATGCAACGAATAATTTTACAAATTATCATTTAACTCATTAAATGTTCTTTTAATTGTTTGCTAAACCTTCCTTGACCCTTTAATTTTCTAAAATTTTTTTATTTTGCAATTAAAATTTTCAAACTTTTCATTTAGTTCTTTATTAGTTTATCTATCAAAATAAAATTTAAGTAGTACATTTTTATGTATTAAAATATATGTTTTACTTTAAGGGGAGAAATGAACTTATGTTAGTCTAAAAGTTTTTAGTTTTACATTCTTTATTAACTTTGATTTCAATAAATTCAAGAAATGAGATTAAACTTTTTTTTTTTTTTTGGTTTGTCTCTCTCATTCCTTAAATATATTGAAATCAATAGTTAGAAAAAAATGTAAAAATATATAAAACTCTTTTGGTATTGCTTGATCCCTCCCCTTACTTTAAATAATATTTTTATATAAATAATTTGACTTTTTCCATAAAAAAATTAAATATTGTTTTCATTTCTCCTTGTTTGATTTTTTTTTTTTTTGGATATAAATATAGCTATTTTATCAATTACAACTTAAAAATTAGAAAATACAATTCAAATTTCTTTGTAATGAAAAAATGCACAAATCATTAAATTAAACATATTGCTTCTTAAAATTATATTATTTTACTTAATTATTTTTATTCTGGATATAACTTTGAATAACATTAAATACAAAAATATAAGAGATTTTATGCATACAAACTTTAAACTAATTTATTTATTTTGAAATATATGCATTATTAAATAATAGAAATATTAGTCATTTATTTTTAACTTAAATATTTTTTTAAAAAATCTTAACATAATTTACACTAATATTAAAACTTATGGAAAAGTCAATGTCACGAGTCAAGTGACAACAAATCAGTTGAGAAAAGTATTAAAAAACTCAGTAAATAATACTTCGTCTGTCTCTTATTATTTCTCGATTAAGAATTTGCACAAATTTAAAAAAAGGAAATTTAAGTTCATTTTTAACCTTTTCACTTATTTTCAACTTAGGTAAAATTTTGGATTTTGGTGCCAATTACTTTCAAACAAAAATTTTTGCAAAGCTTTGGGGCATCACCAAAATAATAAAAATCATCATTTACAAAGCTTTGGGCACATAATCATTATTCATGGCAACCAAAAACTTCTGTTTTAAAACCAAAAATAGAGCAATCTGTAATAGCCATCTTATTCAAAATCTATAGTAGCCATCTTGTTCACATTTCATCTCTAATTATCAAAAGCATCATGTTTTATTTTAATCATTATCTTTATCTCAAATGACATATGGATTCTTTGATATAAATAGACTCTGTTCTATCTAAATCTAAAAGAAATTTAACCAACCAATAATACCAAACCATTTATGAGATACTCTTTCTTCAATGTTTTTGTTTCTTCAAGGATAATTGGTAGAATTTAGAAACAAGAGAAATATTTTTTAGATAATGGATTGGTAGTTGATGTATCTTCCAAGCTTTTGGGAAAGTTTAACGTAAAAGAATTCAAATTGATCCAATTAAAGTATCTGAAGTTCCTTAGTGTCGCTGTACCAACATTTGATCATTGGCAAAGGCATTGAATGTGCCAAAATCAACACTTCATAGGCATGTTAAAGAAGGATTTGTCAAATCACATTCAAATAAATTCTAAATCGATGATTATCATCTAACCATTGATGATGTCCCATATAATAGAACTTTTTACCATTAGGTAACCACATCGAACATGTTTGTGCAACACAACATGGACAAGCATAATGACCTTTTGTACTCTAACCAAATAAATTTAACATAAGCAGGAAAATCACTGATAGTCCATAATAAAGCAACATGCATATTGAAGTTATTTTCTTTTGATGCATCATAAGTCTCAACTTCTTTCCGTAATTGCTTTAACTTTTTAATAAGAAGTTGTAAGTAGATCTTTATATCATTACCCAGACCTTTTTCCTCAGAAATTATCATAGACAATATAAATGACTATTGCTTCATAGCAATCCATGGTAAAAAATTGTAATGAATCAATACAACTGGCCAAGTACTATAAGAAATACTCATCATTTTGAATGGGTTAAATCCATCAGATGCTAGTCCAAGCATAACATTTTGAGGATCAGATGCAAAGTCTGGAAACCTAAAATGAAATGATTTTCATGTCAAAAAATCTGTAGAATGCCATAATGATCCATCATCCGTCGGCTTATCATGATGCCACCTCATTGAATCTACAGTTTTAGAAAACATGAAAAGTCGTTGAAGTTTTGGTATTAATGGAAAATAGTGTAAAACCTTAACAAGCTTCTTTTGACACATACCTCATCACCATCATCATTCAACCTTTCATCAAGGTTTTTGGCCACCTAACGAGAAATACCACACAAATGACAAGATTCTTGATTTTTTCTATCCCCCCAATACAACATGCAATCATTGGAATAATTATGAATTTTCTCATATCTGAGACCTAAATCCTTGATCATCTTCTTTAATTTCTTACAAGATTCAAGGATTTTTGCAAAAGAAAACATTTCTTTCATAAACTGTAATAATAAAGTCAATGAGTTTTTTGTCCATCCACATAAGCATTTCAAGTGAAAAAGATGAACATAGTAAGACAACCTTGAATGCTTCGACCCCTCAAAAAGTTTTTCATTCATCTCCTCAAGCAACTTATAAAACTTTGATGCTTTTCCTCTAGGTTATTGGTCACGCACACCTATTCTAGGTTCACCAAATTCATGCATTTCAACATTGGACTGATTAAATCTTTCATTTTGGGGAGAAAGATTATGAAAATATTGGTTATGAATGTTAAAAGTATCTTGCAACATGCCTTCAATGTTATCTGGTATAAAAGGATCATGTTGCTATTGGGGAGCCTTTGAAGTTAAAGGAACTCTAGTGGAAGACCTTGATGGTTCAGACTCTTCATGAAAATATCAATTAATATATCCTGATAGAAATCTAATACAAATTAAATGTTCAAAAATAACTTGACGCATTTGTCACTCGATATTAGCACACTTCAGACATGGGCATAATATCATATTATCTTCACTTGTATTCTCAAATGCAAAATGAAAAAAGTTTTCCACTCTATCTCTGTACTCTTTACTTAATCTTGATTTTTGCATTCAACTCTTATCTATTTAGTACTCGCTATATTATCAGACCAAATGTATATAAATAATTTATATGAAAATGAACATGTACAATATTTAAGTTTACTATGTTTTAAACAAAAGATAATAACAAGACCAGTACTTACACAAAATGAGAACTCCTTATTGTGAAGTAATTTATCAGCTACCAGAGCCCTTGAATGTTAAAACTCTGCTGCTAACGTTGATAATACCCAAGAGTATTTGTAGTTGGGGTTGACATAAGGTGAAATAAGGTGAGTTTTGGAAAAAATTGTTTACACCAAAAAAATATCGCGAATTGGAAAAGCTGAAGGAATAGTCGAATGAAGCAAAAGCTAATGTAAATAAGTAATGAATAGTCAAACTAGGGTTCTAAAAGACAATGCTCGAATAGTAAAAGCTGAAGGAAAGGGAAAGTAAATTGTACTTGGTCTGGAAAGAGAAATAGTATAATAATGAATATGAAGCTTGAAGTTGGTGATTGGATGCACTAAGTTTAGGAAGATTTTTCTTGGACAGGATTATAAAAGGCATTTACTAAGAAAAATGCCTATAATAATTTCATCATAAATATTTTTTAAATATATTATAAGCGCCTTCACTAGCGTCATAGTGAAATTGTAGAAAAACGCCATTACTAAATGCTATATTTTATTTTATGTACTAACACATTGAATAATTTCCAAGTGCTTTTATTTTAAGTCTTCTACTGGAAAACAATAATTGAAGATGTATATTAAAGAAAAATACCTTTAAGCATCCATGTTATTAATTATTAACGGTGTCTTACATAGTAAAATGCCTTCAATATA